TCGACGTCATCACCCTCGATATCGACGTCTTCATCCCCAGCGTTCTCTTCAGACTCTGAAAGATGAAGGTCATCAGCCACCTCAGGGATTGACTTCAAATCCTCAGGGCAAGCATCTGGCCTCAGGGGCATGAAAGCTCGAGCTTCCTTCAGGGCATGAAAGTAAGAGCCCATAGCATAGTCGCCCTTTAACTCGTTGAAGGCGTCAGACTTCTTGAAGTCCTCGATCGCTTCCTCCCGAGCACTGGCCAGCTTCTCATCAAAATCTTTTTTAAGCTGATCGAGCTCGAGCTTAAAGTGCTCAGCCTCAGCCTTCGCAGTACCGGCCTCACCCTGAGCACTGCGTAGATCATTTCGCATATGCTCGCGCTCCCTCAATAGCTGAGCACGCTCCTCCTCGAGGTCGGCAATCCTTAGATCCCGAGCAGAAACGGCCCCCTCGAGGTCGGCCATTTTTGAAGACTCGTCCTTTTCCTTCAAGGAAAGGCCCCGAGCTATTCCCAGTGTCTGCAAAATGGTGCATGGTTAACCTCGGGACGTCAAGATAACAAAAATAATGTAAAAACAACCGACGAGCTTACCTTCAAGGCCATAGCCTCAAGAGCCCTCAAGCCATTGCTTAAGTCGACATCTGCCCGGTATTTGTCGACGATGCTGAGCACTGAGTGGCACCGAGAGCATCCCTCGGGATTAGCAGGCCCCGGTGGCAGGCTCCCATCCTCGAGGTCGACCACATCAACAGGTCCCCGAGGAACAGACCCCCGAGGAGTCCCCTGCTGATCCTGCTGTTGAGATCCCGTCCTCACTATTCCCGGAGACGGTCCTCAGGGCCTTGAAGATTCCCCAGGCCCACTGGTCTGCCTTTCCTGCCTCTAATCCCGAGGTCTCTTTTGGCCCCTCCTCTGGCCGGGAGCTCGAGCCTGGGGAGCCTTGGACTTTTTGTTTACTGCCTGACGAAGGGCACTTGGATCAAACGTCATTTCTGCAAAAATAAAAAATTACATGTAATTAGCACGAGCATAGCAAGAATACAGATCAGGATTTTAAGCGTCAAGTTCACATATCCTACCCTCGATTCCTTTCATGTTTGCAAGCTCGAGGATATCATCCCCGAGGATATCATCCAAGTCATAAACGAGGGGCTCGAGCTCCTCTAGCATTTGCCTATGCCTCTCCAACGATTCAAAGTATGCCTGACCCCCACAAAACCTAGCAGTATCAGGAACCCCCCACCGAGGACTAAAGGGAACGTCGAGATCTTGAGGTATAGCATAGAACCACTTATCCTTCCACCCCTTCAGGGAACTAGGCATCCTCGGGATTCTAAACCCTCCTTGAGTTGAGAGGTAAGCAAAACAAGAATACTGGGGGAGTTGTTTTAGGTCGAAGACCATCCTACATAAGTCAACATATGGGATAATCCCGAGGCATCTACAAGCTATAAAGAAGTATGTCAACATCCTCCACCCGTTCGGCACTAACTACCCCGGGCTCATGTTATGCTCGGTCAAGAGCACGAGGAAAAAGGGGTGCAATGGCCACCTAAATCTCCCCTTTAGAGAATCCTTGAAAATGACGAACTCTCCCTCCCGGGCAATAGCTACCCTATCCTCATTACCCGGAGACCTAATATCACAGTTCGGCATCAGGCCGAATTTCCTAGCAGTCGCCACGGCTAAGTGCTCCTTAAACCTACAAGGGTGGTCGGGGTACACTAGTGGGGTCGGGATATCCTGGGCTCGAGGATTTGCACTTATGGGGACGGCCATAGGTATTATCGACTGCCCCAAGTCCTCGGTTGGTGTCCCCGAACTCGAGGATGACGTATCGCTATCACTACTCGACATCCTACCTTAAATATAGACTTTTCTAAAAACAATTAACTTAAAGACTTGAGGACTCACCTTATCCCGACGATTCCGACAAGGTTTACTGATAGTAAAAAAGTAAAAAATGAATAGGAATGGAGGCTTATATAGGGAAACATGGGTGGGAGCCCAAAGGTCGCATCCTGAACCGTTCGATCATGCCACGTGTCCTACATCCCACGGTCTAAAAATTACACCGCCTTTCTACTAGGGCTGGCGTCATTACCACATCTGACGTCAGCCCTCAGGAGGCCTTCCTCAGTATTTAATCGACAGAGGCTATACCGAGGACTGTAACTGGGAACTTTTTGCACCTATCCTCGTGCATATTATCGAGCACAGGTGCACGGGGGCCAATGATATAACCGAGTTTTGTTCGCGACGAATATAGACCGAGGACTCAATTTCATCGGTATGAGTATCAAAATACTCGGGACATATGTGCTCGGGTATCATGTATGCCCGGGCTAATAGCCCGAAGATTTATTACACAATCATTCGACATGTCCTCGGGATTATGACCTACGACAGCGCCTTGTCCGACGAGAGATTTATTCTGACTAAATATCCTTAATTTATGTCTCCTATGCCCAGAAGAACTCTATTGGTATCACAATTATACCACAATTCAAACTCTTATCTCGCGTAGGACTCATTGATATAAAATTGCAAAATCAAGCTATCCTACTACAGGTGCAATGCGGAATCCTGATATGAACACACTACCTACCCCTATAAATACAGGACCTTGAACCATTATTCAGGTACGTTTTCTCATTGTTCTTCAGCACATAGCCTCATGCATATATTTCCCCTTTCTGACTTAAGCATCGGAGGGGCGACGAGAACACACCTCGTTGCCTTTGTTTCAGGTATCGGAAGATCACGTTCGTGCTCCTTATCAGTCATCAAGCTCGGAAAATCTGTAGGTACGATTTTTGGTAGCATCATTAACCAATATTTATCACGGCCAAAAAGCTACGCAAAACTTGTCTTATGCTCACATGTGAAAATGACGCCATGAGACATAGAGTATACGAGATTAGCCTTTAGTAAATAAAGTTACTATAATAGAACATTCAGGGTGATTAAAGATCTGCTGGAAAGAAAGAACAAACTGTCCAGCTAGTGCTTCCCAATCTCTAGAAGAAGAACGTGAGCAAAACTATGTTAAGTTGTTGCAACTTCGTGGAGCTGGTCGTGGATTGACCTCCTCGTTGAGGTCGACGTGGGGGTTGGGCCCCCTCCAGGGAGGTGGGAGTGGACCCCCTAGACGAGAATTTTAATTAAAGACTATTTAGGAATTTGTATTCTAGTAAAATTCTATGAATGAATAGAAATCCTTGTAAAATTTAGTTTTCCCCTATTTATAAATAGGGAGCAGTCATTAGGTTTTATGAATTATCATCAAATAAAGAGAAAGAGAGTTTAGAGGAGATAGGATTGATGTTTTCTCTTGTAAACTTTTCATCACAGTGAATTACTGTAGCGGTGGCAGAGGACGTAAACTCACATTGAGGTAAACCTCTATAAACTTGTGTGTTTTTTATTGTTTATTTTCTTTCTTTAAATTGATTGCTCTTGGTGGGATAGAATTAAGGTTTATAATTCTCAACAACTGGCCAGTAATGTTACCATGACATGAGAAGAATGTCTATCTTCGATAGATAAGATGCGAGGATCAGGTTCGGATTGCTACTGCTTATAAAATATAAACACTAACTGATGTCTATATATTTCTGCCTCTGAATTGGCCAAATATCAACTAAATTTTGAGATGAGATCACTGATGGTTGAGTTTGAAACTCCGGAATCATGCTCACTATATCTAGACGCATCATTCATCTTCTGTTCAATTTCCAATTCATCCTGAGTCACCAAGGTAACTTTCTCATGGTCTACGGGATTATTATTTTCTGAATCTAACAAGAAAACACTACACCTAGATGACTCAAAACTAGTAGGACTTCCTGATATTATATATATGGTGCAATCTAAAGTACCCAGAGAAGTCAGGAATTTCTCCCCACCTCGGGAGCCTCTATGTCCGAAAAATCTTTCGATTCCTCAACTCTTTAGCTTTCAGAGAAGCTGCTTCTTTTTCCCTCATATGCCAGTCACATAAAACTTCAACTGTAGTGTTAAAGATATGGAAAGTTAAAGATATGAAATATTGAAATTGAAATATTGTTTAGGATTATTTCTTATTACACAATCTTTCCTATTAGGTTTCTTTCCTTTTATTGTTATTCATAACCCTATAAATAGGGTTCTCGACTTTGTAATATTTACAAGACCATAATAATAAAATTTATTTTTCTTGACAAAAAAAAAACTTTGGAGAGTCCGAACCTTGATTTTTATCGCCTCTCCCCCGCTCCTTAAACAAACTATGGGTTTTATTATGTTGAAAAAAAATTTGAAGGGCCGGTACTTTGAATTTTACCGGCTCTTCCCGTGCCCCTTAAACAAACTGGGGGTTTTCTTATGTTGAAAAATTAAAAAATAAATAAATAAAAAATAAATCTTGGGTTTTTGGTTTGATATATGCCCTTGCTGCAGTTTTTCTGTTGAATGCTTCCCCTCAAGTGTTTGGAGTTCATTCTACATCAATTTCGAAGATTTGATTGGATCAATTTTTTCGAACTCAATATTTTACACCATATTGAGTTTGAGGGGAGGGTGTTAAAGATATGAAATATTGGAATTGAAATATTGTTTAGGATTATTTCTCATAATAATTGATTGTGTAACTATTACACAATCTTTCCTATTAGGTTTCTTTCCTTTTATTGTTATTCATAACTTTATAAATAGGGTTCTCTACTTTGTAATATTTACAAAATCATAATAATAAAATTTATTTTTCTTGACATGTAGAAATTGGTGAGCCTGTGATGTCCTAATTTTTCCAACCAGCTATGCTGCTAATACCTGAAGCACAACCTAAGTTCTAGGTTAATATTTCTTTCTGTCAATTCCCAATCAGCCATAGCAAGCATTTGACCAAGATTTTGACTCCTCTTAGCGGACTCAACCGCTCGAACCTTTTTGGTTTCCACCATTCAAAGATTTGCTTATTGGCTTCCCTAACCATAGATAGAAGGGCATGCTTTTGATCTTTACTGTCTTGCCTTAGAGAGCTAGGCCTATCACAATTCTAGATAGTTCGACCCACCTCCACACCTCTATTTAAGATTGGTTCTTCAAATCTTGGCCATTTCATTTCAAAAACTACAACAATTTAATATGCAAATTATTATAATTTCTTCCTTTATTTCATTTTTTCTTTCTATATGCATCCTCATTTTCCCAACGCTAGACCCCTACCAAAGGCCTGAATCCGTTAATTCCTAGTAAAACTGCCACTAAGGCATTCTACTTTCATTTTCTGAATGTAATAGATCAAAGGATTCACTCCTTTCTAGGGCCAAATTCAATTAGTGTGGAAAGGATTCACTCTTAGAATTTGAGTTAGGCCTCGACCTTACAAATGCGTTGCAAATTAGTTATTCATGTAATAAAATATTTCGACTCAATTTCAGTCAATAGTGTCAGAAATAGATTGAAAATACAGCTTTCCTATGCAAAAACGAGAGTATAAAAAAAAAGGTTGGACCCCAACCTTGAGGGCCCCCACCGCCCCACCCCTAGAGCTTTGTGAGGAAGGTAAATCGCGGGATGTGCCCCAACAGGTCAGAAAATAAGAGATGCATGTACACTACGCCTATAAGGAGTTCAATTCCATGTCTCATGATTTGAACTCTCACACTGCGGCTGCTAGTAAGGCATGAAATAGCCTCACTCCTATTCTTTGTACAATTGGGTTATGCCCCAGGGGGCCAAAAAAAAAAGAGAGAGTATAATTTGTGGGTTAAGTCACTTGAGCTCACTGGTTTTTAAGCAACATTTTATCGTTGAAGCCGTCAAATGGACACGTTTTTCTTCTCTCATAAATTACTTAATTTATTTGTTGATTATTAAGATATTTTGGGTTCAGTATTTAATTTGGTAGTAGTTTTATTCATTTATGTTGGTTTTTCAGAGTTTGTTTATGTTTAAAAATTTTAAGGGAGGACATTTTTATTTTCATTTAAATTACAATTGTATTGTTGATCGTTATTTGATTGTTATTAATTGATAGATTTCACAAGTCAGAGGTTTTCAGTTCTTGAATTCAATCTCGGCACTTATGAATTATTAAGTACTTTTACGGTTATATCATATTTGTATTAAAACTCATAGTTACGCCTTGCAATTTGTGAGACGTCAATGATAGAAGTAATGTTACGTATGAGGATGCAATGACGTGATGACTAGAGTTTGAGGAGAAGTCAAGGCCGAACTTTATTTACGGTTATATCATATTTGATAAAAAAAAATAATAATAATAAATAAATAAATATAAATAAATTAACATTATAAATATTTTTTCCTGAGTAAAAATAGAATTTGGGCAAGGCCAGCCCAAGGCTAAATCCGCCTCTGCTAGTGTTCTTATCGATACAACTAGCATAGATAGAATATGTACATGGACAACACAAGATGTGGATCAATAGATGAGCAATTTTATACTATGGTGA